AAGGTTTTCCTTTAGTCTAACATTTAGCTTATGTCTTGCAGGGAGGGTTACACAGAGATCAAAATTCGTCTGGTCCCTGCTAAACTGAATTTTAATCTATGTGTTTACCTTATTCTTTGCTTCAGCAGGCTCCCTTCAAGACTGTGACTGGTTCCCCACAGCTTCTGTGTGCATGTCTGGAGTTTGCATGTTCTCCCTGTGCCTGCGTGGGTTTCCTCCGGGTACTCCGGTTTCCTCACACACTCCAAAGACATGCTGGTAGGTGAATTGGCTCCTGTCTAAATTGGCCCTAGAATGTGTATGTATGAATGTGAGTTAGGGACCTTAGATTTTACGCCCTTTGAGGGTTAGAGACTGATGTGAATGTACAATTTATATATGTAAAGTGCTGCGTAAATTGACAGTGCTATAGAAGTACCTGATATAATAAAAATGAATAACTTGTTAATGGCTATGGTCACACTCCAGCCCCCTCATTGTACCATACAGGGTTAAAGTATGGTATGTGATGATGCTGAGGTTTTAGGTGGAGGAATAGAGCACTGCAGCTGGCTGGAGCATGGGTCATGTAACTGAAAGGGAAACTCATACAAATGAGCGCAGAGAGACCACTTCAGGTGGAAACATGTGAACAGTTAATCATGAGCTCACCACTGCTGCCTTGTTAATCATATGCATGATGAAGGGAACTGAAAAGAATAGGCGCTGTGGAAATTGCTCTCAGACAAGCACCTTAATGAAGGTGCATCTTTATTGAGTGAGACAAAGTAGCAAATATAATAAAATTTGACCAGCCTGAAGTGGACAGTGTGACTCCAACGGACGGCCCGTCCGCTCTGGAGGGAGCTGAGATTGGAGAACGCTCCTGTCGGCTTCAAATCACGTGGTGTCAGTGTCCCGGGTGGCATCATTGAGGCAAGCAAAGGCAATGTCCAGAGTCGGCTTCAGCTGGGAGCGATGTAGGATTACCAAGACGACATGTTCTGCGCAGTTGCGCTTTGTCGTGGTGACATCTTGTGTTATGTGCAGGAAAAGGGCAGATGGTTGTATAAAGACTTGCTGCCTGGAGTCTCTTTCCACCACGTCATGTCATCGCTTGCCGTGATGACGCCACCCGGGACACACCGGTACGCTGACACCACGTGATTTGAAGCCGACAGGAGCGTTCTCCGATATCAGCTCCCTTCAGAGCAGATGGGCCATCCGTTGGAATCACACTGTTCACTTCAGGCTGGTCAAATTATATTATATTTGCTACTTTGTCTCACCCAATAAAGATGCACCTTCATTTAAGGTGCTTGACTGAGAGCATTTTCCACAGCGCCTATTCTTTTCAGTTCTCTTCATGTAATTGAAAGAGGCTGTTCCCACAACCTCCAGCACTGCAAGGGTAAACTTTTTCACTTTCCTGGAGTTGGGCTGTATTAGGGCAACAAATCACCTGCTGTTTATGCTCTAATTCTTGAATATGTTAGGAATTACTGGGACTTCTCGGGTTCTACATAGATGTATTCCACATACACATTATATCTTATCTTATGAAAAGAATGATTTTGCGGAATACATATATGCAGAGCATGAAAAGTCACAGTAATTCCTAACATATTCAAGAATTTCACTTTCAGTATACCTGCTGAGGTGCAGGGCAGGTTTACAGCTGAACATGTGCAGTGTCAGGACTCACATGTGAACAATGCAGTCTGCCATCCATTTTCTGTCTTCAACTTTCTGCCATGGGGAGAGCTCCAGTGACTGGTGGATTGGAAGCAATGATCAGGGTTGCACTCTAATTTTTGTCATGCTTGCTTCGCCCACCCATGGTGCTGCTCTACTATGATAGATTCAATCTGGATAAGGGAAGAAAGTGGGGCTAACAGAAACCCAAGCCGGGGGGGGAGAGCGAACGAGTTTCTGCTTTCTGGCAATGTGTCTGGGTGCAGAATCAGCTCTGTTTCTGAGAGGTTTCAGTGGGAAAGGAGGTCAGGCATGGAGTGGTGGATATATTCTTCTGCATGCTTGCAGCCTAGCGCCCACTCCCACACTGTGCTCAGGGCAGCTGCCCCTTCCTTGTCCCAGCCATGTGTATTCATTCACCTAACTTGTCCCAAGAAACAGGCAGCTGGTTTGTGTTGTATCACAAATGTGGGAGGGCTAATATAATAAAGGCAAATGTTTCCAGCATGGTGAGATCTTCTTAATTGTACTGATTGTTTATATCTGCTTCAGATCTAATTACTGTGTTGCTTTCATGTGTTGCTTTCAGAGCACTAACCTGAGACACTCAGGGCTTGTGGGATATATAGTTTCTTCATAGGAAACATTAGTTCTAAGACCACAGACAGAGGTCATGCATTAGCCTATGCAGTGTCATGCCGAATGTTACATGTTTGAACACAAAGAGGAACTTCTGACACAGGAATGTGAAGATCTACACTACTATAGACTGCATATACAGGACAATAGATGGCACCATGAAACTATATGATCAATGCACATCGTATGCAGGTGAAAAAACACAAGGTCCAGTTAGGAAGGTTTATAATGCAAATGTCACCAACTCAAAAGCACTAACACTTATAACAAAATGTGAAAAACAACAGATTTCCAGTCTAGGTTTGTGCGGTTTTGCATAGAAATATAATTAGCAGTAAAATGTGACTTTATTAACAGTATGGTTTACCAAGAACAATCTTTGAGTGTCTTGTCTTTTATTGTTGCATTTTATATTATTGTGTTTTATAATGTTAAAATATTTTTTTTTATAATGCTAATACCCAAGGGTTTTGACTAATTAGATAATCAAGGGTTGTGAATGCAAAATGGCTTTCATAGAGCCCTTTGTGTGCAATGCAACCCCAGAGATATGTTTTGTTTCAGCACATCTGGCAATAGGGATTTGACAGTCAGTTGTCTTCGTAATTTGGCTGCCACAAGGTATCATTAACAAATTAACAAATAGGGCTAAGTATAATGTAACACAAATTAAATGAATGCTTGTGTGAAGTAATGAGAGAAATAAACAAACTAAAGACCTTCACACTTTTATGATATGTCTATTGCTTTAAAAACACCATTGTCATGTAATATACAATCTTGTAAAGAGAAATGAAAAAAAAGACAAAAAGAAAAAGAGAAAAAATATTGAGGCAAGAGATGAGAAAGAATAAAGAAGTTTGAGAATGTTGAAATAGAGTGTATTAAAGTCTACCCTAAAACAAAATCTTGCATGTCCTATTTTTTGGAAAACCTTGCTTGGTTTAGACATCATAATATGAAGCTTATCAAAGTAATTTTTTTGTGAGACAGGTTCCAGCCTCCTAGGATTTTTGATTCTTTAGCTACTAAGAAGCTGATAGGGCTGGGGCATTTTTCTATCTAAAACAAACTTGTTAATTAAACTTTCCACCATTTTAAAAAGGCTATTTTAAAGAGAACATCTGAAACAGTAATCTAGGAAAGAAACAACATCATAATTAACTTGAAAATGTTATATTATAAATTATTACAATGTCCCCCTTTTATCAAAATTCACTGGGTAGCTAAATAGAACAAAATATTTGACAGGGAACAAAATAAGGAAAGGTCTAATTTGTTGACATTAAAATTCCACAATGTAAATGTGAAAGCCTTTTTGCTAGTTTGTTCTTCAACTTTCTGAAGTGAAGTATTTAGTATGTTGGATTTCATAGATTTTCATTTTCAGTAGCTATAAAAACATTAGAAGAGAATGAAGGAGTCCCATGGCAAACTATTTTTTATTAGAACAGCTATTAATTTAAAGTTTTGAATATAATACAAAAAATTAAAGTCAGCAATTCTAATCTATCCCAAGACCTCTGTGATACCTCCATTCAGTTGTTTTTCTTCTCTGTTGAAAGCAATATGCATGAATGTGTTGGACATAATATATTCCAAATGACACAGAATTATCTATAGATTCTTGGGTAGAATTTAGTCAAACATAGTTAATGTCCATGAGATTTACTTAATACTCTTTCATCGTGTCTGAATTTGAATCCCACAGAACAGAGGCCTTACCTTACTTACAAAAAAACTGTGAAAGGTACAACATCTCTGAAGGAATATGTTTCTCTCTGCTACTGAAATAATAAAATTAACAATTTAGGGTATCAGAAGTTCCTAAAAGTCCCTATAAAAATAACAATATAAAACCTTAATTAAGGTATCACTCAATGACAGCATAAGATGTGACGTATTATTTTCAAATCATTTTAATACATGTGTCTCATTAGGTATCAGCATTCAGACTGTAAATAGAATCAAAATTGTCTCTAAAGATTGATAACTGTTCTGTTGTGTATATCAGGGTGTTGTTTGTGGATTTGATATGCATAATGAATGTTGCTGCTTACTCATTCCATGCAGCATGTAATACTAGCTTGTTACATTTATTTCTCGATGCTTATCAGTTAAGATATATTCCCATAAGACTGTTGCTGTTTTGTAGTTTTTGAAAGGTTAGTTAACCACTAGCCTACAGGGCACTTATACCCCCTTCCTGCCCAGGCCGATTTCCAGCTTTCAGTGCTGTCGCGCGTTGAGTGATAATTGCGCGGTCAAGCAACACTGTACCCATATGAAATTTTTATCATTTTTTGTGACAGATAGAGCTTTATTTTAGTGGTATTCAATCACCTCTGGGTTTTTTATTTTTTTTTTAAACAAACAAAAAAACCACTTAAAATTTTGAAAAAAAAACGTTTTTTCTTAGTTTTTGTTATAAAATTTTGTAAATAAGTGATTTTTCTCCTTCACTGATGTGCGATAATGAGGCTGCAGTGATGGGCACTGATAGGCTGCACTGATGGACACCGATAGGTGGCACTGATGGGCACTGATGAGGAGGCACTGGTAGGTGGCACTGATGGGCATGATGACAGGAATCACTGATGGACACTGATACATGGCACTGATACATGGCACTGATAGGCGGCACTGACTGGTCCTGATAGGCGGCACTGATAGGCTGCCCTGACTGGCACTGATAGGTGGCATTGATAGGTAGCACTGACTGGCACTGATGGGTGACACTGAAAGGCAGCTCAGATGGGCAGTGATATGTGGCATTGATGTGCACTGGTAGGCACTGATATGTGGCATTGATGTGGCACTGATGGGCACTGGCACGAGGCACTGATGAGCACTGACACAAGGCACTGATGGACACTGACAGGTGGCACTGCTGGGGCTACACTGATCATCATGGCACACTGATCATCAGTGCCCTGATCATCAGTGTACATGTCCCCTCCAATTACTGGCTCTCCTCTCCTCTCGAGCTGTCAGCGTGACAGCTCAAGAGGAGAGAAATGCCGATAACCGGCATTTCCCTGTTTACATGTGATCAGCTGTGATTGGACACAGCTGATCACATGACCAAGCCGACATCTTCGGCTCTTTCCGTGATCGGTGATATATTGTGTCTGAGGGAAACAGTGTACCGCCGATCGCCGCAACCTCCCAGAACAAGAGAACCACCTTGTGTCCGTCATATTACTATATGGCGGGTGGGAGGTGGTTAAATATATAAGCTTTGTTTGCCCATGATTGTTCATGTATTGCTTCTTGTGTGTAAATATGAAAATAAGATGTTCTGCCTAGCATCTGGCTATTTTTTTTCAACCCCGTATCATGAAAAATACCTATGCTAACTGACATATAGAATATGTCTTTTCAAGCCTAACAGTTTTGTTCAAGAAACTTTGATTGAACTTCTGCCAGGTTGTCACTGCCATCTGTGTCTCCATTGGTAGAAATGTACATTCACTCACAGGGTGTCACAATAACAGGAGGTTTTTGGATATCTACGATATCTACGTAATATGAAAAATTCTGCCAATATAAATTTTATTACAAGGGCATTTAAAAGCGTAGATCACTCCTTTCGTATCGCACGATATGAATTGTTTGATCTTATACATTTTTCCATTAATGGGATTGGTAAATTCCTGTCTGTGTTTTGGGTTCTTTGTAGTTCTAACACAGCTATAACATCTGCCACATTTATAAAAATCCTGTTCCTTGAAAAAAGTTAAAATGATTATTAATATTGGGTGGATTTAATATATTTTTTACTACTTTATCACGAATGTTGGGGGCTTTCTGATATATGAATCTGGGTTTGTCTGGAATTGTATTTTTCAAATCCTTATCCATTTTTAATACATCCCAATGTTTCCTAATTATTTTCTGTATGTCTCTATGTTGTTTATTGTATGGCATGACCATAGCTAAACTATTATGTTCAATGTTAGTCTTCAATTTATTATTTTTCAAAAGATGTTTTCTATCTAATACCTCTATTTGCTTCCTTTCTAATTCTATTACCTCTTTCTTGTACCCTTTATCTACGAATCTTTTAACCAAGAAATCACTTTGTTCTTGGTAATCTGCTAAATTGGTGCAATTCCGTCTAAGGTGCATAAATTGCCCTCTTGGTATGTTTTTTTATCCATGGCTTGTGGTGACAGCTATTGGTTGGTATGTATGCATTTTTGTCTGTCTTTTTAAAATAAGTTTTTGTATATATGTGTGATCCGTTCTTAATTAGCCATATGTCCAAAAAATTTACCTCCTTGGTATTAATGTTCCAACTCAATGTTATGTTCTGATTGTTGGTATTTAGATCTGCATAAAAATTGGATAATGATATTTCATCTCCATTCCAGATTATGACTAGGTCATCTATAAATCTATGATATAATACCAGCTCTTTCCTTTGATTATGGAATAATGTTTCCTCCTCCCATTGGGCCATATATAAGTTGTCTATGCTAGGGGCAAAACGAGCGCCCATAGCTATTCCTTTTATTTGAAAGTAGTATTTATTCTGGTACCAGAAATAGTTATGGTTCAAACAAAATATTAAGCATTTCAGAAGGAATTTGTGCTGTTTTTTTATGTAAAGTGGAATATTTTGTTAGAGCCCATTTTGCCGCTCTAATTGCTCCTTCATGGTCTATATTTGTGTAGAGTAAAGTCTGCTGTGCTTAATAAAGTGTTTTTCAATATATAAATTTTGTAAGTAAAATTATATGTCTGGTATCTTTCAGGTAGGCTTTTGTTTGTTCTACTAGTGGTTGGAGATATTGGTCAATATATTCCCCTAACCTAGCCGTGAGTGAGTCAATACCATTTATAATAGGTCTTATTGGAGGATAAGGCACATAATAAATTACAGTTTTTTATCAAAGATAAGACACTATGTATTTTCTCTTTTCTCCCTGGTTACTATGAGGATTTATAGAAAACTGGATTGAGGAGACTGAGAAGGGAGTGATCTGCACGTCTATACGATCAACAGCTGATTGCATTACAGAGGATCACATTGCAGCATATATCCATCTTTAGGCTGATTAGAAGGAGAGTATATTGCCTTTTGGAAAATGCACAGGATTTTCCATACATATTTTCAATAACATTTTATCATTTTTTTCACTATCATTTGGATTCACTTTTTTAATAACATTTTTTGTTTTCCACAGTATTTTCTCTATTTATTTTGACTTATATTTATTGGACATTTTATATATTTTTTTTTTATTTTTATTTCACAGTATTTATAATTGAATGATTATTCACTGGTAACCACGTTTTGATATTTTATGCACATGTCTAATAATGATCATGAAGAATTTAATCACCAGGTTTATTAATCTTATTATTTATATATAATAATCAGGTTTATACAATATTAGAGCGCGGCACCCTAATACTATAATCTTTGTCCCTTAACTGCACATATAAATGAGGATGTGAAAGGGAGCCTGCGATCTATTAATATTTTAATATAGAATACAAACTCCAGTGGCTCCCAAGTGACTCTATATCCATTAGAAAATAAGAAGACATCACTCCAGTGAGGACACAGGCACAATAAGGTAACACAATTCTAATCTTACCCACGCCATTTAAACTTAAAAGGTTTTGGCTGATGCTAGACTTTAAAATCACATGGATTGCTATTTTGAAAAGCTGAAGTTACTTCCTTTCTAATTTCTGAGTTAGTACATTTTCATCCAATATCCATAAAAAGATTTCTTAGGTTTATTGAAAGATGTGTGTCATTTTGAAGTGTGATTGGATAAATCCAGGAGCTTTATACCACTTCTAAATAAAAGTGGCAAGCATAATAAAAGTAGAATATCTTCATTTCAAATTTGTTTGTTTACAATTTCTGAACTATATAGAATGTAAAGGGTCTATCTATCAAAACAATTATGTGCTGCTGTCTTCTGCATTCACACAGGCACAATGAATTACAGAGCAGGGGCGGACTAACAACTCATGAGGCACCCGGGCAATTGGGGATCATGGGGCTTCTGTGTCCTTGCCCACACTCAAAACCCACCCAAAATTTTATGGGGCCCCCTACTGACCCCGGGCCCTCGAGCAGTGCCCGAGTACTCGAATGGTCAGTCCGCCCCTGTTACCAAGTAATGTTTGTAGTATTATTATCTCCTATGATCGTCAGCTCCATCTAGTGGCCATAATGCAAAATGTTTCTGAAAGACCCCCGTAAAAAATACTGCATCATAGCCACTAGTTGGAACTGCCATTCATAAACCTATTACAAAAACAACGTGGTGATAATTCATTGTGCCTGGGTGAATGGTGAAGTCAATCTTATGGCCATTTTTTTATATACATAAACCCTTACGACTTTCTATATCATGCATAACAAATTGACTTTTCTGAGATGATGAGAGATGACTGAGAAAGGGAGGTTGAAGTCACTAGATAAAAGCAAGAACCAGTCATAAATGGCATTTTTTATTATATATAGACTCATAAGACTTTAGTTTTTTTACAACATGGATAACAAATGGATTTTTCTAAGGTGGTGAAAGAGAACTGTGAAACAGTGATTGAAGTCACCAGATAAAAGCAAGAACTATTAATAAATATATTCACATGTTCATAATGTCATTTAAAATTGAGGCTAGTCATATACATAAGCTTGAGTACCTGGTCCCATATCCATCCTTTCCCATCAGCCTGCTGCAGAGTTTCAGGACAGAGAGCAGGGGAGTGAGCCTGTCAATATGTAATGTACTGTCTCCTTTGTTTTATGAAGGAACACAGTGAATGATCAATACCAATTACTCACAGTGTTCATTCATAGCTGAAGCCTAGTAAACTGTGTTTATTATAGTTCAGTTTCTAAATGTTATTGTTAAGAATAGATCAATACAAGAATGTCCATAGCCTGACTACAGGTTCATCTTAAGTTAAAAATAAATATTTATACCATCAGTACAAAATAAATAACAGTTTTTTTTTTTGTTTTTGTTTACCTTCTTCCCTCTTTCTTGCCTACTCCTTCATTTTAACATAATTGGGCTCTGTATCATATTTACTATTTCAAACACATGTACTCATATATTGGAGGATGTGATGAGCTTCACTGTTTTAAAACCATGTCCATTTTTAGGGATTTGAACATTGTGAAAAAGTGCCTTAATAATGACAGAATAGTCCCAGCTGGTATTGAAAGTAGAAAATTGTTTGTCAGATAATCCAGGTCTCTGTGGCAATAAAAGATAATAGAGTGCAGGGAATAAGTTGGGTCCAGAGGTAATGACTTCACTTAATTTAGTCAGTTCTTTAAGTTATTAGTGAGTCCTGTTTATGAAGCTGTTCAATTACTACAACAAACTTCTTTCCATTTATTCTCTGGAAATACCCGAGAAGATAATAACAGCCCAAAGATTTATGGCATTTATTGGATTCTTTATATATTCTTACAACAGTTTCTAAGCTTATCTTGGTATTGATAGATAACTGATTTAGAATTTGCACAATGCCCCATCTGTATCTGAGGTTATAAAGTCATCACACACCAAATACACCAAAGATCAGAGACTAGGAAAATCAGTATACTTGGTTGACACCTGTTTTTTTCGCAAGAATTGATATTTCATTGTAAAATTAAAGAGCCTATAAATGACACCCTTTGACTGATTTGTTTAAACCTCACAAGGTCTGGGGAATTGGTGGATCTGTCAGACATGAACATTTATTAGCGTTGATTTACTAGAGCCACAGAGGTTGTTCTTAAAGTAAAGTAATTGTACACTTATCATAGTAGTTAAAGCGGTATTAAACCCAAAAGCAAACTGCTTACCAATCTTTAGATTCCATGGCTGAATTTGTTTTCTTTTTTAGGCTTTCTTTCTTCTATTTTCATTTGGTGATCCAGCCAGTAAGTCTATTGTTTTTCAAAAGAAGAAGCTCTCCAGCCGAATGTATCAGTTACAGAGCTGAAACAAACCATTTACCACTGACAGAGGTGCTTACAATGATCAGCTTTTATTTATGTAAAAACTATCCCAAAAGTAGAAAAACAGTTTGCTGTAACTGCCTATAAAGTATTAGTTGGAGTTTGACTTGAATTAGGGTATTTAAATCTGCTTGTACA